GCATCATCCAACTATTGTACAAGAACTGCTTTGGCTAATGAATACCGTCATTTTTAGTGCGTTGGAGTCTGCGTGGATGCCAACCGGGGCAAGTTCTACTGGACTCAAAAAGGGCCTAGCAAGTCTGGCAAAGGTCGCATCTTTCGTGCCAATATTGATATGCGCCCCGGTGAAACCGTGTCGAATCGTTCCGATATCGAACTGCTCTTTGAGCATCTGCCCGAGCCTATCGATCTGGAGATAGACGCTAACGAAGACATGCTCTACTGGACCGATAGAGGGGAATATCCTCAGGGGAACTCGCTCAACCGGGCCTTTGTCGGTTCCCCGGGCCCAAAGCAGGCGACGATTCTTAGCCGTCATCTTCACGAGGTTCGTATTCCTTTCCATAATGTTCTCAAGGCAAGGAAGTTGGCTGAGGTTCCCTAAACATGTAGGCAATTGGTCTTCGAATTGATCACGTCAACAAGCATATATACTATACCGACCTTGGAGGATCAGTGTATCGGTCCGATCTAACTGGAGCTAACAAGAGAACGCTGTGTAATGTCGGTGCTACCTTTACAGGCATTGCACTGGCCCATGTGGGATAAACTTTCCATGCTGGATCTATGACCTGCATGGCTGGACCCAAGCCGAATGACTTGCTAATTGAATAGGGATTTAATAATCTGGGCAGCGTGTGGTGGCATGTTGGTGTTCCAAATTGCACATCTCCTTTCGATATAAGTTTTTAAGTGCTATGAAGTTATTAGTGTCATCAAATCGCGTTCTCTTGGATTCTTACTGCAGGAAAGTTATTAGTAATGCCAACGATCATAATAGTTATATAGGCCTCCTGTCCAGCGGAAGGATGCCTCTTTAGGGTCAATCTTCTCCACTTTTCAACTACGTGTGGCCTTTATACGACTGATAATATCGCCCCGCTCCAATAGGCCTTCCTCTCCCGTAGCAAATGGAACAAATGGAGACTGGAGATAAGCAAATATTTCTGATCCTGGGATGCGGGGCATTCGAGAAAATGTAGACGAGAATCAGTATATCAAAATATGATTCGCTAGTCAGGTCAGCTAGATTATTATGAACTTTAGCTGCCGTGGTAGATAAGAACTAAAGCGTCATTTCATCCCTTCTGGATCTAGAATCTTAGTAAAGTTAGCACTCGGCCGAAAATTTCCCTATTTGGCGGATAAATTGACCATGATTCATCAACCCATTGAAAGTCCATTGATAGGTCGACAAGAGTCTAACAGCTCTGGCTTCAGGACTTTCTAACGTCATACCAGATATTCCTGAACCTCACACGGTTAGGTAGCGCTATTTGGATAAGAACTACAAAGGAACTCAATTTTATACCATGGCTGACCCACTATGGAAGGTTCAGGCGGAACTCCGAACCTCAAATCCACTGGCCATTGCTCTCTGACCCACCATTCAAGGCTTGCGCGGAACTCAAAATATCGATCATGATCCATGTCCTACTAGTAGTATGACCCACTATTCAGGGCTCAGACGGAAGCTAGAATGTCGGTCGCAGCCAATGAGCCTTGGTCGCAGTCGGATGTGGTGGTAACTCTGAATCTTCGGTCGCTGTCCAAAAGCGGGTCAACAATCAAAACCACTTGCTTCGACACAACATCCAGAGGCTTAGAGGAAACGCAAAATATCGATCGCAGGTAGACCCGCAAGCCATTCGATATGGTCCCATAGAGCCTCAGTACATCGTATGTATTCTGGGTTATTGTATTGTAACGCTACAGACTTTCATCGAAACATGGCTACAAAGCCTCGCGGAATGTACCCGATTAAAACAGGGCTTGGGATGAAGGTTGACCTATAGCACAGGTTTTATCATCATACATTACGTTAATGACGAGTCCTGTACGCCTGTATCATGTATCCCTAGCGCCCCATGTCTGGCGAAAGAACCTGCAGGCGCACTTGTTATAGGTCTGCAGAGAGGGGGCGTATTAGCTCGGAGAAATGCCCTAGAAGGCAGCCTGATGCGATGCATTGGGGAAATAAAGACTAAAGATACTATAAATTCCGTTGATCGGTATTATTTAATGTTGGGCTTGCACGTTTTAGGGCATTGTGATTTATTTGGACAGAACCTTACGGGCCGGCTTTCGTGACATCTTGTATCAACTTTCCCATTTCATAACAATGTATTCCGTAGGGCAATATTGGGGTTATACTTACGCACGGTGAAATAGGAATACAACGCTATGTTTATTTGATTAGCCCCGGGTATGCTTGTATTGTATAATAGACACACAATCATGGGTTATAACTCATGTACTTGTCGTGGTCATCGATACCGTGCATGGGTAATATATTTACGAGGACCCACCACTGGCCATCCCCAAAATAATATAATAGCGAGGATATTCTAATATAGTTTAGGAGAGGACTGACCTACCTGTACAGTTTTGTATTTGAATAAGTTGTTGCTGGTTAATAGAAGGCACCTCTCTATTAAGAGGATTTCTCTATCTACCTTATTGATGGCCCACATCGCCCGAGTTAACTTGGCATCCGGTACTAGTCATTTCCCCAACAGAGCGGTGGTTAACTTGGCTGCCGTTGCCCCAATTTCGTGGGGTATTTCAACCAGACCTAGGGCATCCTCTATTTTGACTCAGCCAATCACTTTATTCAATAGAAGTTTGTTCCGCTTGACCTCATTGGCCAATACACATACTAGTCCATACTGTATCAGCTTGCTATGACATACCTGACTCTTCTCATCAATAGGGTTGTAGATATGTCATGAACACCCGAGATTCCTATGGTGTTTGTTCCACACAACCGCGTGATATTAATAGAAATTGCCGAATGAAACTCTAAGTATCCGCAAGAAAGGCTGCTTGACTAGCTATAGGCGCTTAGGCCGACCTAACCAAAATTCATGACTTTAATAGTCCATAAAACCTGCGTAAGTCACGAGTCACTCTCGCCCCAGATAAGTTTAACTGCTGTTAAGGATGGCCACACCCTGATCGATTTAGACTGCAAATTGAAATTACCGGGCTTGAAGCACTAGTGCTCGGATAATGGTTAAGCTAGGAAGTGACCCCTTATCTACCCAAGAACTTTCCCAACAGACATTACATGGCTAATTATACTTTGTACAGCGTAAACTTTTACCATCCCAGTGACTTTAAAATCGGAGTTTAGCAGTGTGGAAGATCATTCTAAGACAAAGCCTACTCCTATTAATGAAATTGCCGAAACGATTGACCCGGCCTGTCTGAAGTACAACGGACGGCCTACACATTCCGTAATAATGGACGCCCACTTTCTGTTTCTGGTTGTCAGAGGAAAGCTCAACAAGGAAGTTTCCAATGCGGATGTCAATCCCCGAAAACTGCTTGGCCACTTAGCCCTTGTAGATGCTATTTTTCACCACCTCGCGACCCTCCCAGGAACCGACTACTCACACCGAGAGTGTCATGGAACTATATTCATCAGAGGCTGAAAATGTGCGAACGAGACCAACACTACCCTGATAGCTACCCTAGACGACAAAGAATCTTCAATCGCAAACGGCAACAAATCCGAGGTAGCCGTGGTTATCCAAATTCGCAAGCACTCTTTGCTAACAATTGGAGGTGTACGTATAGAACAATCTTCGCGACGTTGCTATTGTTTTACCGGTTGGGAAACTAGCCTCGTTCAATCGTCAACGACTCCTACAGAGTACCGTACACCGTAATGAGCATGTAAATCCTGAGATGCGGAGCTTGATATTTCGAATTACAGGCCGTCGTTTGTAGGAAGTACTATTTCGCTGATCGATTGTTCTCCTGCCCCTCACTAACAGTCAACTCATTCTACTGCCTTCACAGGCGTATTCCGTTTATCCTCTATTTCCAGGCTCTCGACTGTCCAATGGTCTTTCTCGGCTGATATTCTCGCCTATGAACTTTGGTCCGTGTATTGAGTGTTGATTGATTAGACTTGACATATGTCTGATCTTTTGGGAAAAGAATAGCCAAGACAACAGAACTCAAGTCTTCACTGCCGGCCTTATAGTAACAAACAATGAGCGTATGCAGCCTGTTTAGCAAAGACGAGGGTCTCGAACGCATGTATGCAAAGAAACAGTTGGATAGGCAGGTACTGATCGACTTACAGCCTGTAATTAGTCAGCGACTTATATCTTGCCCTTCAGCAGCTAACATGATGGTCCAGCGACAGCTATAATTTCAACTATCAAAATGAGAGATGGAGCTACTAAGGTTAGATTTGAATAAATGCCAGCATGAATATACAAAGGGAGGATTCTGACCAACGAAGTAGGTGGGCACTGATAAAACGACAGTAACGTGCCAAGGCAGTCAATTTAGAAGTGAGGAGAGGTACTACGTTAGGATAAACCTCCACTACGAAATGAATACTCCTACGCTATATCAATTATTTAAGAAACCAAAAAAAAAAAAAAAAACTGTTAGTTCCGTAAAACACAACAGATTCATATTTCAGGGACTGACGTACCCAGCAAGTGCCTCTGTGGTGATGATATTTTGGGTTTAGGGTAACGTCCGGTAATTCTGCTGGGGTTGGCGGCGAACAAAAAAGGCTGGTTCGAAGTTAAGCTACGATCTGTCCACCGGGAAAGTTCCGTCTGACGTAGTGACAGAACTGGTGATATCATATAAGAGAATATACTAGTCGAATGACTGTGCTTGGAATCTCTGGCGCGTAACTTCCGGAATATTCGGAGATTGTACGTTTGGTCGGTCCACCGAGCGGCACACGCGGATTGGATGGTCCGGTGATTAATCAATATCAAAAATCTATGGAAGATGAAGTTCATCAAGGTAATACAGCCAGGTAGTGTTCTCTCGACCAAACTCTGGGATGATGGATCTAGTCAAACTCACTATAGGGCAACAATCATATAAAGACATAGTATGAAGGAGTGGAACTAATTGTCAAAAACTGACACACTATTCGGAAACTCACTCAGTGAACCGTATCATAAGCTCCAAGAGATGTCAGCGACGGAAGAACCCAGACGGCAAAATGCTGTCTTAGCTGAAGATTGGCAAGGCGAGTATCTTGGCTCTAGGACCTCAGTTTATAATGACATTTCGAGTGTTCGTGAGCAAGGGCACAGTACTGGAGTCCGCGTTAAGGGTTCGTTGTATCCCAAATCTTCACCTGTTACACGAACTGACGAGGAAGCTAGACGACGGGAGATTGGATATTAGGTTTCGAGATAACAAACCCTGGCTTGCTTCTCTGATGAGACATGTTGAACAACCTCTGGAACCAGCCACAGGAGAGCAGGGGCCCTCAAATGTTGTTACCATGGAGCATGGCAGATTTCCTTTGAACCTGAACATCGTGATACAGGTCGTTGGATCGCGCGGTGACGTCCAGCCATTTGTCGCTCTGGGCAAAGAACTTCAGAAACACGGGCATCGAGTTCGCCTTGCCACACATTTGTCATTCCAACAGGATGTGACCGATAAAGGACTCGAATTTTTTAACATTGGCGGCAATCCGGAAGAGCTAATGGCATTTATGGTGCAAAACCCTGGTTTGTTACCAGGAATGCGCACAATCCGCAGCGGTGCAATACAGAAACGGCGACGGGAGATGAAAGCCATCTTTTCGGGATGCTGGCGCTCTTGCTATGAAACGGGAAATGGGACAGATCTCCACCATATTCCTGAACGGGGGCAGGGCGGCGGTGCTATCGACTCTTGCACACGGCCATTCGTCGCCGATGTTATTATTGCAAATCCACCAGGGTTTGTTCACTTCAGCTGTGCTGAAAAGCTGGGCGTTCCATTGAATATGATGTTTACGTGAGTGGTATATTTATTTAATATCAAGACACAATCTGAGTATTTTAGGATGCCTTGGTCCCCGACCCAATCCTTTCCACACCCGCTGGCAAACGTGCGCTCACAAAATACTAAGCCATCTGTGGCGAACTTTGCTTCGTATGGGATAGTGGAGGTAATGATGTGGGAAGGCCTCGGGGACCTTATTAACCAGTTTCGCAAGAAAGAATTGGGTTTAGATCCATTGGATGCCATCCGAGCACCCAGTATGATCCATCGACTGCATATCCCATATACATACCTATGGTAAGCAAGTCCTTCAATCTTTTGCGGCGTTGATCTAATGCAAAAAGGTCGCCTTCTCTCCTTCCGAAACCTCGGGACTGGTCCGACAATATCGATGTGTGTGGATTTCAATTTCTTTCGGCCCAGTCGAACTATCAGCCGCCAGAAGACCTTGATACTTTTCTAAAGGCAGGAAATCCCCCAATCTACATTGGATTTGGATCAATTGTAGTTGATAACCCCAGCAAATTGACACAAATAATATTTGAGGCTGTTCGCCGGACGGGTCAGCGCGCAATTGTTTCAAAAGGATGGAGCAATCTCGGCGCTGGAGAAATTGACATTCCCGAAAACATCTTCTTATTAGGAAAATGTCCCCATGATTGGCTCTTCCGGCGAGTCTCATGCGTTGTGCACCACGGCGGTGCTGGAACCACGGCTGCTGGTCTCCTTCTTGGTTGCCCAACGGTCATCGTTCCCTTTTTCGGCGACCAACCATTTTGGGGTTCCATTGTTGCTCGAGCCGGCGCTGGCCCACAGCCCATTCCATTTAAGGAATTGACGCCTGAAAGGCTAGCCGCGGGGATTCAAGATGCCTTGGGAGAAAGGGCTAAGAACTGTGCTGGGCAAATAGGGAAGGACATGCGCGCAGAGGATGGTGTACAGAAAGCCGTGCAGAGTTTTCACCAGCATATGAATGTTGAGGCTCTAAGATGCTCCATATGCCCCGATCGGCCGGCGGTGTGGTGGCTCCGACATTCTCACATCAAGCTGAGCGCCTTTGCAATATCGGTATTAGTGCACACGGGCCACGTCAAACCGCGAGATGTAATGTTGTACGTATTTCGGAACCTTTCCCGCTTGTTGTCTTTGTGTCCACCTAATCTGACCGCTTTAGATATCGAGTCAGAGAATATGATACTAACCGCGACCCGAGAGGTCCTCTTTCAGCCACCGCGGAGGTTCTTTATGGTATTATCACCGATCTTCTGATTGGCATTGCTCGCGTACCGGGCCTGATAGTCGGTGTCTTTCCGGGATCTCATTCCAAGATAGTTCAACGTGATTACAGAGGAAGGGAATGGGCAATGTCACATTTTGTAGAGTGCCTGTCAAGCAAAGAGGGCAGGAGAGACTCTCAGGCAGGGACGGGTGTGGCAGCAGCAGCAGCAGCAGACCTTAGTGGTCATGATGAATCTGTCGGACGCCCCGGCACAGACCGAAGGGCAAGTACCATACCCGCCAAAACGGCGGGAGATGTGAACCGATCCCATTTTGTCGATAATATAGAGAACATACAAGGACAGCCTGGAATGGAGGAGGGAGAAAAAAGGCACCATGGCAACAAATACGGTCGTGCTAGGCAAGCCTTGTCGGAAACGCGGTACCAGGCTGCCAAATCGGCAAAATATGCACTGCACTATGTGCTAGTCCTGCCAACTGATTTTGCCCTCAGTTTGTCAAAAGGGTTTCACAATGCACCCAAATTGTACCATGACGACACAGTTGAACCAGTACCCAAAGTGATCGGGATCAATAGTGGACTCCGAGCGGCTGGCAAGGTAAGTAAATACTTACCATATCTCCTCAAGGAATAATATCCTTAATTATCACAGGAATTATACCAAGGTATGTATAATGGCGTGTCTGGACTTGTCACGCAGCCTCCCGGGGCCTTCGGCAATCAGGAGGCAAAGGTTTAGTGAAGGGAATCGGAAAAGGAATAGGTGGGGCTTTTTTTAAGCCAGCTGCAGGTAAGGTCTTCTCTCAGAGCATGAAACACACTCTAAATCGAATATATCTAGGTCTATGTGGGCTAGCAGGATTCCCTCTAGATGGGCTCCACAAGTATGTTCGCAGATCTCTCTCGAAAAGTAAATCTAAAGAGATTATTCGATCGCGTATTACGCAGGGCATTGAAGAGATGTGTGCCGCCTCGACGGAGGAGCAGAATATGGTGATTCGGAGGTGGCATGAGCTGCAAAGCAATGCAACCTAATGTAGGAACAACATTCAGGCCATTTGCTCTATTTTATTATCTATTTCAAAGCCCATCAACCTGGAAAGCTATAGGTCCTGTTCGTCTAGCAGCTCCTTTGTCGGCACGTGTTTGACTCCTGGTATAATCCGCCTAGTGCACAAATTCGCAGAGTGACGTTTGCTACAGCCAGCGAAATGGAATTTGGGGTGCTAAGCGATTTAATTTGCTTGGGAGAGTAAGTGTCATGAAGGGAGGAGATCCCAAAGATCTCTCAAAGGGTTCTGGTCCACAGTAATTAACGTAAATGGCCTACTTCCTTACCAATAGAAAGACAAAGCATCGAATTACCAGTGAATTATACTATACTGTATTCACTTAAACGCCTTTTTTGGCTCCATTTTCGAATCGTCCTCAAGAAGTCCAAGTCCCATATACTATACTGACTTTAAAGCGGTCATCAATCCACGGTTCAACACGTGAAGGGCTACTGATCCGTGAGGTATACTTGATACGATCCGCGGCCGATCATACGGAATTTCCTCTCCGAGCATGTCATAGTTCTCCTGCAATCTAAAAATCAACCGAAAATATTTATCGCAACCTCTCCTGTCAGACAAGGTAGAGCCACTAATGCCTGATATGGATTAAGGTTCATTGATTGCGCTATCGCGTTCCGTCTGAGCCTTAAATAGTGGTCCATGTGCTTTGATCCCATTGGGCACGACCTCGCTTTCGGATGGATCGCTAACGTCACGTGAATCATGTTGTGATCGATATTTTGAGTTCCGCGTGAGCCTTAAATGGTGGGTCAGCGAGATTCAGAGTTAACATCGTTTTCGGCAACATCCGATAATCTGGGTTCCGTCTGAGCCTTGAATAGTGGGCCATGTTAGCACGTGGATCAGATTATGATTAATATTTTGAGTTCCGCATGAGCCTTAAAATGGTGGGTCAGAAAGCAAGACAAGAATAAGTCCACCAGATCTCATGGTTCCGGTGATCTCATTCGGAACAACACCCACGATGTATCTCAGAACAGTGTAAGTTTCAATGCATTGATTTCATATACCATCTTGCTCTTTGGTTCCAGTGCACTCTATTTTCCCTGGTCCTACAAATCGTATCCCGTTGGCCTACACAGCGCGCCGTACACCAGATTCGGAACGGGGTTTTATGATATCAGAAACCCCACATTGTGACTTTACGAGGGCTAGTGAAGTAGCTGGTCAGCTTCCAAATTATGGATACTGCAATGAAAGCCCTGGATCTTAGCCTGGCTACTCATTGAAATTCATCATGGATGATTCATGACTCACCACTGAGGGAAAATTATCTCCGAGAAGGCATTAAGGCAAGAGATACTCAACGCAGAAACATGTGCACTGGAAAGCAATAATAAGACACAGTAAACTTATTTTTCTTGCTGAGTAAGATAGGCATACAAACTGTCGATATGCAATGAAAGTCCGGGCGTATTATTGCTTGGCTGCCGAGGTTGACTTCCTTTTTCGGAAGGGGACCCTTTAAACGAGAGGCCTAACATTATTGGATGCAGGCTGGATGGGGTCAATGACCACTATATCATCGCTCGAAGACACCTTTTTTGTCCATCGATATACAGTACCCAGATATATCGTTTTGACTAGGCTTTTTGCTTCCGGTTTATAACTGCGCTCGTGCTCAATTTGGTCCAGCGTTTACATAGAACACCCTCTACAATTTAAACAACCATTACTCCAAACAACACACTCGGCACCGCGTTCTGTCAGCTTCATATATGGACGAACCACACGCGACCAAAACGAACGACACGCCCCCCTCGACTCCAGCTAACTTAAACCGAGGACGCAACGTTCAGGGCAGGGTTTCTAGAGCATGCGACACTTGTAGATTAAAGAAAGCTAAGGTAAGACAGATAATACCGCTGAAAGTATGAATGGTTCAATATACTGACCGGGCCAGTGCAATGGTGCTCAACCTTGCAGTCGGTGTGAGGACCATGATGCTATCTGTATCTTTGGAGAAAGAAAAACGTCTTTGAAAAAGTGTCCTCCAGAGTAGGTTAGGTGGCATCTTTTAGCATATGCCCGTGCCTAACTTTGATTTCTAGATATGTTGAAATGCTCGAGCAGCAACAAGACTGGTTAACGAAGGGGTTGCGAGAAATGTATCGACGGGCTATTGAAGGCAAGGGCTGGCCCGGTGAACCGCTCGGGCAGAAAGCGGATGGACACCCTCTGACACATGATATACTCTTTCGCTTGGGTGTTTTGAACAAAGAGGAGAAGCCCGATATCATACATCCCCCAGATATTTTCGACAATGTGGACACCGTGGAAAATGTTGATATTTCTTATTCGGTGCAAACCCCAGTACATGTGCCCTCCGAGTTCTTGTATGGGGAATGTTTATATCAAGTTCCACCCTCTTTCTCGTTACCACAATTGGCAGACAACTCTCGACAAACCCCATGTCTGTCCTCAAGCTACTTTGGCAGTACAGAATTGGGAATACCTCAACTGCAACCTAGCTCAGGGCACGTATCAACCTCGGCTTTCTTTTCTCCCACTCACCGGCTCTCCATTCTGGATGGTATAAGCTTTGGTTCGCCTGATGATGACTATCGATACCCAGTTGACGAACTCGCTTCATTTTGTGAGGTAGACTTGGCACGCAGCACTTGAAAATATCAACGATCATTTATATCTATCTCAAGTCTATTAGTCCCTATTTTGTTTACTTCCCACTTTACACCTTCTCCGTAGCATAACCGCCTTCTTGGGGGTTTAGCCTGGATGGCCATGGGGGCAATGCATTGAACATGACTGGGAGCCGTCTGGCCAGCCCTACTTTCAGCAGATATGAGGATAGCGAGCAAGATAATACAATATTGGAAATTGGAGATAGCCATAGTTCAGCGTCTAGTGATTTTCTACAAGGATCATCTCAATATCACAAACACGTTGCATTTGACTCTTAGGGTTATGGCTGTTCGTAGTTTTGTGCTTATCACGCTCCGGGTTTTGTCGAGGCTGAGACGGGAAGAAGCTTCGTCGGTATTACAGAGACTTTCTTTACTGTGCTACCAGAGGTCAGCCTTATGTGTAAGAAACCCAAGATCCTATGCCAATAATTGCTTCTAATTAAAAATCCTGCCTCGTGAGAGGCAGGCTGCGCCTTTCCAGCTCTTCCCAAACATGATGGAATCTGGCACATCTTCCAGCTCGTGTCGGCGGGGAGTCTTAGCTCCATGCACTAATCGAGCTGATTATCTTTCGCTAGGGTATTCGATTTTTCCCAAAGGTTCAGTCTGAATGGCTGGTATGAGCTCTCTTTTTCTCGGGAAAAAATCCCGAGGCAAATTTCAACGCTCTGATTGGCACAACCACGGTTTCCCAAATCATGCCGAGGTAGGCCGTTCACGACCTTTTGGCGTGTTTAAATTTGATGCCCAGAACACCTTCCCGCGCCAAGAAGAAAGGGCACTTCCTAGTGCATTCTTCTGAAGTTCGTGGGGCTTGTGCATCGGTCACAGACTGCTTTTGTCGTATGTGGAAAGACCAACAGCATGCCGTTCAATGATATGGACGAGCGTTCCTCTACCTATCTCAATAATTCCTCATCGCACCGCGGTGAGAAAACAGAGCATATCGATCGTGCCAAGATGCTATCACCGGAGGAAGACATAGTATTGAGGAGATTCCGACACTACTGCCAAGAGAATGGTTATTGCAAGCGGCTTGAGGATGGACAACCAACCATCGACGATACAACCCTCTTGTGCGTCCAACAATCACCGCTCCTTGAGAAATATTACGTGTTAACTAAGCGAATTCAATAGGCGGTTTTTACGTGCACACAATCTCGATCTTGACAAGGCAATCGATCGATTTCGTGTTGTCCAAGATTGGAGGGCGAGTCATGCCATCGACAATTCTTATCTGCACATGGATGTGCAGTGTTACGAAGACTACCGGAAGATGGTCAGTTTTTCTCACCTTATGCATCGTTCGTCTACCGATTAGCTATCTCTTCCAAGCACCCTTTGTTGAATTTGAGCTGACAGCTTTGCTAGTTCTCTCAATGGACAGGGCGATGTGACCGACAGGGTCTTCCCCTGTACGTCTTTCCTGTGAACCAATTTACACCCGAGAGGATGGAGGCCTATATATCCACATATGATCACACCCCTGTGACGACCGTCTCTCAAACACAGGATCTACCGTGTCATATTCTTGCCTTTCATGCCCTGTACGAAAATATGTTGAAATTCGTGATGCCCCTTTGCAGCGAATTACATGATTCTCATGCCAGGGCCCCGGTTTCGGCTTCAACACACATCATTGACATAACGGGCGTAGGGTTCGGGCATTTTTGGAAGATTAAAAAGTACCTCCAGGGGGCGATCTCAATAGCCACAACTCATTATCCAGAAACGCTAGGTCATATCTTCGTGAGTCTCCTGAGTTAGCGAATTCCGATCTCCCGCCCCGACTCACTGACATGAATATTTGTGACAGATTGTCGGTGCCCCTCCATCTTTCGTGAAGGTGTGGGGGATCGTTAAAAAATGGTTCGACCCCGCTAGTATCTCTAAAATACTCATTTTGCCCCATTCAGAGACCGAGATGACCCTGTCAACCTACATTGACCCCCAAAACTTGCCAAAGCAATACGGTGGCCTGCTATCGTGGGAATGGGGGGAACCGCCAAAGTTGGAAGAGTCAATGAAAGATATAGCCTCTGGTATATACGTAAGAGACCAGACTGGAGATGAGCAGTTCTTAAAAGGACCTGTCACCTTTTCAGACGGCTCTGTGCACCCTTGGGGTACGGTGAATGGGGAGCTGCGGCGACAGCCAAAAAAGTGCTAGACGAAGTCGTCCTTTAACGAACGAATGTATCTAATTATTTCTAACTTTTGTATCTTGAGATCCTTAACATGCCGTTTCTTGGGGTATCTGGGCCTTCCCAGAATTTATAATTTACAGATAATCCAAAATAGTTCAAAACATCATACGCGTTAAATCCTGGCGTATATAGAAAGATCAGGCGATATTATAGTTTCAATACCTAATCCTTTCTTATCGCATCCTCGTCCTGGGAATGTCTCGATCACTGGTGTGGCGTAGGATTGTCTGCACCTTGGACATGCTAAAAAAGATTCGCTCAACTAAGCGGTCACGAAAGCGTCGCTTACTACGCTTTTTCGTTTCCACTAAATATTAAGAATCGGAGATAGACATCAACCCGATAGTTTTCACACGGGAAGATCAAATGTTGGTCTATACAATGTGAATTTCACGGAAGGGAGGTCCTGCAACTACACTAAGAAAAAGGGCACAGAGCCATGTACATCAGGATACAGGTATGTCTTTTCCTGGTGCTGGGTCACCAAGAGCTTGATCTGTCTGTCAAGAAGCTGTGACGGTTTTCCAACTCAAGTAGTGAAGCTGATACCATCAAGCACGGAATATTGAACTCCTATCATTGCCTAACAATGTGATCTTCTCTACTTCGACCGACCGTTGCGACTTTAGATGCTTTTCCGCGGTAATAATCGACAAGAGTGGGGCGCATCCGGGCTACATGAGAAAGGATGCAAAAGTTCCGCGGTAACTACACGCGAGGTGCCGAGATATACAGGCAAAAAGGGGGTTGACACAGAATATAATATAAACACTTCCAAAACGATGCAAAATTGGGCAAAGGCCAGAATTCCTACCTGTAAACGACCAACGGTTGCTTTACATTTGTTATTTCCTATCCTCGATCGAATAATAACGCTCCGCCCGCACAAAGCTCTGCCTTGGCAATAATCTATGGATAATGACCGAGGGCTCAGACCTCAGACTTCTACAAGAATCACTATAGCATGCGACAGATGCAGAGTAAGAAAAATCAGGGTTCGTTAGCAGATCATATCATGTCAGAAGAGACGATTGACTATATTTACTAAAGCTTTACAGTGTAATGGCAGGAAACCGTGCGATACTTGCTCAGATGCCAATGCAGAGTGCATTTTCAGGCAGGTCAGGTCCACTATAAGATCATATCCCAGAGGGTAAGGTTTAATGACGATTATTCGGTATACCTGTCATATTGATGCAGGGTCAGATATGTGGAGATGATGGAAGAGCACCAGAGCCAGATGGTAGACGGGCTCCATGAGCTCTACCGACGGTCTGTGGACGGAGAAGGATGGCCTGGTCCCCCCCTTGCAGTGCGGCCTGAAGCCGAGGGCCAACCTCTCACGCACGACCTACTCTCCCGATTAGGTGTTTTGGACCAGGACAGGAACAGGCAAGATATTCGAGCCGAGCAAGGTGACCCGAGCAACCAGATGGCGGCACCCAATCCGAATGAACATAGCAATGAAGGGTCCAGCGGAATTATACCTGGCAGTGAAACCGGACGCGCAGCTTTCCCATTCGATCACAGCACATCTGCATCAGTTCATGCGACCACATTTGGACAACCTAGCCAACAGCAACATACAGCACAAACTGAGAGCTCCATGACCGAGACACTCACTTCGGATCCTTCATCACTCCCAGATGCCATGACAATGGATTTCCGGTCTCTCCAGACTATGCCCAGCCATACAACCACACTGGGCCAACAGATGCCTGTGCCCGTACGGGAATGGATGGTATATATTCCAGATGACGATGATGAGGTGCATCCTCCTCCAAACCCCTAACTTGTACGTGATCTCCAAAGGGGAGAGCTCTATGAAAATGGCAGTCAATCTGGATCTCAATACATTAATACAGGCAGTCCGATGTCATAGTTTCTAGCTCCCACTGACATATGCCGGAAGAAACGGAACGTAGTCTTAAGATATCGAGCCAATGATCGAACTGCGGCAGAGGGCTCCATAAAGTCATACGTTAAGCCAAAATACTACCTATGTTTTGGCTTATCGTGCGAAGCTGAATATTTTATTCCCTGATCAGCCATCCATACGTGAAGACTTTGCGCTGCGTCTCATTCCATCTTCTGTAATTGCTAGGGTGAACAATGATGGCTGTTGAGGTTGCGGCAGATTCCGATACCGGTAATATTTCCTTCATATATAGTAGGTGACTCAGGGTTTCTATTGATCTCGGCCCTCCCTGAGACACGCTAGCTTCGTATGGTAAAGCCGACATTTGGGAAGCATATAAAGGACGCCTCTACTCTGAAGGTATCTTACGTTAAGGTACATCTGCAATATCACTCAGCTTTGGCCGGCATACGCTATAGCTCCTCCTCTCGCGTGACCGAACCAGCGACAGTAACAGGATATTACCGTATCAATATTAGCATTCTTTGTCAATTTCAAGTCTTTGGGTAAAGCGTACATCACTCCCTGCAGGGCTTCGCATGCCGGAGAATCCACTAAAGGTAATCCTTGTTCAGTGTCCGACAGAACAGAAACTAGAAAAGTGGCCAGCGACGCCTAGCTAGAGGGGCTCATGCATTGCGCTATCGTACAATGCTAGCTATGATCATGAGAACCAGATAGGTATCCACTCTAATGGGACCACAATCTCACGACACTGACACAATCTTAAAATAATCTCATCCTTTTGAAGACTTGTAGCACATCCTGATCCGATCAAACCGAATCTTCTATGGGCTATTACCCTAACGCGGGCCATCATCGTTCTTGTAGCTCGGTATTGTTTTCAGCCTTCTGCGTCCTGTTTCTATATTCATATCTCTTCCATAGCTTGATGGAACTCAAAACGGCTTTGCCTTCACTCATCTTGCAAGTAGGAGACCAGGTGCTAAGCACACCGGCGTCGGGACTACGGGAAAGGGGGCACGTAGCAGTCGTAACAATTCAACCTGGATCACAGTTCCCGGTTATTCTGAGCCTTGAATGTACTTTTTGTCAAAGACGGATAGGTTTCGACGTTTTATACGGGCAGATTGATTTTGGTGTGATTATTGGTGGCTCCTGGAAATTCATGGCCTTGCGGAGTATTTTGGCTGCCCCTAGAACTCGATTCATAGCCTAGGTAAACTATCAAGGTCAGAGAAGACACTCGTTGCATCGCCTCCTTCAGAAGCAAATGGCAGAACCGGATGGTCATCCACACAAGAGTTTGGGGTGAGGAAGAGACTCATATAAGAGTCGACGCTGTTCATCTCACAGGGTGTTTGCTTTTGAGAGCCTCGAGCTCGTGATAGGCGATTTTCACCTTGATGACTAGATTTCTCGCTAGAATCCTGTTCATCAATGGCAGACGTGCGCTTTCCATCACAAGCTGGCTGTGGTCCCTTGGGTGGAATCAGCCGCAGCACCTCCGAGACAAGCGAATAGATTGCGCTCCAGCGGGGGAGCGGGACCTCGTGGTCGATACCTGGCGGCAGTGGTGAATCAATTTTATAACTGGGCTGTTGCTGGTGTTGATTGCCAGAGGTCTTGACTGTATGCTTTCGGGCAGATCTGTAACTCCAATTGGACATTGTTGAATCAGCTTTTATCAATCCCTGTCTTAGTGTAACGAGGAACCGAAAACCATACTTCATTAGGCGCGTCCTAGGGATACAGCGATAGCCGTACGTGAAGCAGTAGGTACACGGGTGACGCGTCAAAGTGGTAATGCATCGCTTTTTTCGATGGTGGCAAGCCCTGCAGGCTTGGTAAGCTGCATTTTTTGCATGCAAGCCGTCTTTAGTACGACCTTTCTGGACCTCATGACGCTGTGGCTGCGAGCGATTTTCTTCCATGACTTTGTGTTTTGCAACGGAGGGGGATTATACCTCTCCTGGGACCACATAGGGGAGACCGGGGTGCACAAGCTTTTCTTGCCTCGCCTACTCTGCCGGCCGTTTCGAAGTTACCGCGGTTCACGCCCGCACCCAGACCCTCCGAGGTTCACCCTCCATGACCACCTCTTGACCCGGGGAAGACTGTAGGAAGGAAGAAGTGCTTGAGCTGCGGCGGGTACCTTCATATCCTTCCGCCTCTGCCAATCGGATCGCTTAAACCTAGCTGATCTATCTACACAGACTTGCCTGTCTCACACTATGGAGATATATATCCCGGTATCAGTCAAGTCTCAGAAATTCGATGAAATCATAAAACGGTAAGTGGATGAATTCTGTATGGGTATATGTTCTTTATTATACCCACTGGCACTAAAAGCGAAGAACAGAGCAAACGTAAGTGGCAGCTGTTGGGATACTTGAATGTAGTTTCTCACGAAAACCACCAAGTCCAGTTCGTGGTAAGACTGCGTCTTCAGAATCTCCCAAGAACATGTAATGGAACACGCTATGTAAGGACACAGTTCTACATATCTTCTATTGACTTGTTCAACCCCGTCAAAATAATTTGAGGTCGGACACGAGGGAAATGTAGAAAGGATGCAGCGTACAGGGATAGTCGGCATAGCTTGTGTATCCGCTGAAGCGCGGGAGAGAAGCCAATCTCGCTGCCCAGCCTTCTCTATATGGCCACGTCACCGTCGCCTTTTACTTTCGGTGGTATGCTATCTCATGAAAACGGCCCACTTCCCTCTTCCATTTGATTTATGGGCTTTAGAAGGCGGTACTGCAATTGTCTACTCGCCGAATAGGATCCAACAAGCTCGAGATCTTCAGACTCAGAAGGGGGAAGCTATATAACTTGATAAAGCAGCCAAGCATATAGAAAGATTCCTTGGGAACAGGAGAAGAACAAAAATAGCTTTTGTTGGAAAAACGGAAGGGAATTCGATCTCTAAATAAGGAGATACATCAGCGGGCAAACGTCTGAAAGCCGCACCGGAAGGACGAGGAAAAGCTTACCCCAAAAAGACTACTCCATAAGTGCAACATGATATTGTTCAGCTCGTTGAAGGCAAGAATGATACCTCTATACATTCAACTATAAGAACTATGAAGTATATCAGTGGTCAAGATCAGGTTGTTGCTGAGGCTTCATCTAGTATAGATCGTCGGGGTCGGCAGATTCGCCTCCCTGCTCGCGTTCGGGATTGCCAAAATAGTCATATATGTCTTTCATATAGTGATGAGTAGCCATTGTTGTCTGGTCCTGTTGTAGTAATTACTCTAGTTTAGAAAACGCCGTGCGCGCTTCTGGGTTTGTTGACAGTGAAACCTAGCTTTATCGACAGGGTTACAGCCCGTCCAAGCTTAACTTCTTAACCAGCAGTCATATGGTCGTTTAACGTAGCAAACGAGCCACAGAGTCGATGTAACCAGCCTGTAGATCTTAGGGCAAGTATAGATGAAAGATTGAAGACCCAATGAGTTCACTAACCGATTTGGAGACGCCAACATTCTTAATTCGGGAGATGAGTTATTGATTTCAAATTCTGGTGAATATGATCTAAATTCTATCTAATGTGAACGAAAAGCAGAAAGATCCACAAAAATGTTCTCGAAAAAGAGTGCGGGCAAACCAATACCAGACTCTAAGCAAGGGCAATGCCGGTGAACGCTCGGTTCTCGTCCGCATATAATCTCACTTTCTGCTTCCCCTCGGCATTACATCTGTAAATGTTGCCACCGAGATCCGTCAGGTAGATACTGTTATTCGCCAGGTCGAGCTTCAAGCCGATAGCTTCGTTCAGGTTTCTGAGGAGGATGTCGTATCCATGGGAGGACATATGGGGCACCGGCAGGCCAAAGTGGTCGAGACGAAGTCGATTTAGGGAGTTTCCTAGTGGAATTTCACCGCGATCGGTCCAGTAAAGAGAGTGAGATTCCTCATCAATCTCGAGGTCGACGGGCTCGGGTAGATCTTTCGCAATACACTGAATATCAGTTCGTGTCGTGGCAGACTGTCCCTCCGGGGTAGTGATGTTCGCGTTGAAGATGCGGCCTTTGCCACCTTTAGATGGCCCCTTCTGGGTCCAGTAGAACTTGCCGAGGCTGGGAGCAACGGTGACACCAACGCACCATTTGTGGCATCTTGACCATCCTCGGCATTCTGATAGGTACCAGTCTGGACCAAGACTTCAAGTTGGGAGCCATCATAGTTGCAACGCAGAACACGAAGACCTTCACGATCGCAGAAGTAGATCTTCTTGGACTTGGTGTCCAATGCCAGCTGCTTCGGGGTATTCACAGTACCAGGAGCTAGGACGGCACGAATATCGGTGCCGTCTAAGTTGGCAGAATAGACTGCTCCATCATCCTTACCAGGGACGCCCATGTTTGTCCAGAACATGCGCTCGCTAGAAGGGTCGATGGCAAGACCGTCGGGGAGCGATTGGGCGGTAACAAGGACCTTCTGCTCACGTCCGTCGGCAGATACTTCGAGGATTTCGCCCCCGTTCGTGCTCGGGACTCGTGCTGACAATCCAATGTCAAGAACAAGGATCTTAGCCTTCGTGGCGCTGCCATTACCGGTCCCTGCAGGTGGGAACAGACCACCTTTGGAACATTTCGATCCGAGCTTGCCCTGATCTAAATAGTTCTTCTGCAGGAATTTGACCGTCTTTTCGTCAGAGAGGCCACGCTCAGCGATGTAATGACTTTCAATGAAACCAACGGTGTCCAGGCCGACGTCTAAGCAGCGTTATTAGCTTCTATGGTAGGAGAGTTTTGGAGACTCAAAAGATGAGCACTATCAAACACAGGCAGAAGGACAAGTAGAAGTGAGACACAAGGAAGTCGCAGACAACAGCGAGGAGAGGGAAAAATAAAGTCCGATGCGTACCGTCCATAGTCTTGCACGGGGTGACAGCCCCCTTGATAAACATCTCCGTCCACATCGAATCAATCTCTTCCGGCACCGAGACCTCTTCGGCAAGGATGGTCAAAACCTCTCGCTTAACTGCGGCCCAGAGGCGGTTAAAAATGAAGCCAGTGGACTCCTTCCTAGCAACATAGGGAATAGTTGCGGCTTCCTTCGAACGATCGACCAGGAACGGGAAGATAGACGGCTCCGTGAGCCCATTGGTCATGAGCTCCACAACCATAACTTGCGGGGGCATGTAGTAGTGCATGTTTAAAACGCGACGCTTGGCCGAGTCCGATACTTTGACCAACATTTCAGAGGATTTGTATGAAGAAGAGTTAGAGGCCAAGATGCAGTCACTAGGAGCAAGCTTGTCCAGCTCGGCAAAGGTATCAACCTTCAGGGGGAGCTTCTCAGGGACGGCTTCGATGGTAAGCCATGCATTTCTGACTGCATCCTTCAACTCTGCGAACACCTTAATGCTACCGGGGCACCTTCCGGTTTTTTCTGCATAGGACACCACGTTTCCTTCGACATACGCCACACAGTCTGCGCGTTGTTCTGGGCTAGGGTCACGGACCTGGACATCATACCCTGCTGATGCCCAAATACATGCTATTCGTAAAACGTTAGGATCTATGAACATCGTAGACATAAATGTCACCATTTATTGAAAATGCCTTGCTTACCGATACGACGACCCAGTACGCCCGCGCCTAGAATGGCAACAGGACGTTTGCCATAGTCCGTGGGCGGCTGCCAAGTGCGGGTCATTTTCGCGTAAAAAGGTACAACAAAGCCAAGTGGCCAGAGCTAGATTGTTCAAACGAAGGTGTATATGGTTCTCAGAAAGCTTAGGAGTTGATATAATGTGGAAAAGGAAGTAGATGCTATAGGAAGTTGGAGAAGGTGCCGCGACTCTTTCTTAATATATAGTTCATGGATTTCCCTTTTCCCTATCACGGCATCTTGTGGCATCGGCAGACCGAAGTTATGGAAAAGAATATACCGCAACGATCGGTCAGTGTTCCGTAGAAGGGCCGCGGCAGGTGGACCTTTCGTAAAGGGACGTGTAGACAAATTCCTAAGAGAGCTCCATTCCAAGTTCCGAGGAGTAACACTTTGCGAGGCGGGTTCCCGATTGGCTAACGCGAAACACCGAGGTGAGCCTCGATGAAGCTCCCACTACTGTTTGTTTGAAACACCGCAACATATCACCCTTCAAAAGTTGGTTCTTTTTATTCACGGGCTGCTCCAACGTTCCGATTGGTATGAGAGGCGCCGAGGTGACTGTTGATCAAGCTTGCCTATATTTGGAAGGGCGTGATCCGAAGAGCAATGTTCTTCTATATACTCGCGATGCCCCCTGGACTATCCCCGGCGTAATATCGGTGGCGCAACTTCCATCCCTCATGCTGGCTAGAGCATTGGGATTAATATGACATGAACGCGTATTACACTCAGATAGAAAAGTTGACGTAGTCCCGCACTATGCGACGCACAGCCCAATATTATACCTCACCTTCTCAAACACTGGGGCCCGCACTCCTTTGCTGTCTACTCGTTTTAACAGGACTATAAGACAGGAATTGAAACCATTTCAGAATGGAGTTATAGTTGGTCGATTGAATGGCTGATGTTTAAAACGCAATGGATTGGCCATATACAACAATTCACACCACCATTGAAACATATCAAATCTCTACTCCTGAGACTAGCTCTTCTCACTCCAGACCGCTAGAGATTCTTTCTGATGGTGATCATCGATATATTGTTTTACAAGTTAAACCCGGCCCCTTTCTAAAAAGAAAATATCTTCAAATTACTTGACAAGGCTGCTTCTGGACGCACTGTTGCGCGCATGTTGGAAGAATCTGGGTATGGCCAATGGAGAGCCGAGAAAAGACCTCATTTAGCTGAGGAAATAGCTAAACTACACTATCAGTGGTATATGTATGCACAAAATGGACGTACAAACAGTGAAGCAAGATTACGTAGATTAATAAATGTTCCATTGAGCATAGCAAAGCAAAGAAAAGTTATAGGTATGGCATGTCAATTACCTAAAGAGAAAATGGGGGAAAAAGTATATTATCCCTGATATAGAGGGCAAACAATCTCTATTGCAATCTGCGTAGTAATTTGGAGTGGTGGCTAGACAGAAATCTGCCGAATAAGTAGGGTCCATAGAGTTGATATCGGGTCGGGTTCAAAAAGTAGGACTGCCGACTGCAAGGCAGGTATTTTTTGTGACAACCCACACCCGCCCACAAAAACGTGAAAAACTGCTAATCGGCCTAATAAGCCTAATAGGTCAGGTGATAGTTAGGAATCAAATGTCTTATCTAATCAGGTTTAGCCTCGAGACTTACGTTGATTTTAAGGCTCTATATGTCTACCAGTTCTATATGGAAATATGCTAAAATTATAGGAAAGTACAGATTTGCATCACACAACTTTTACGGGGGGTTTGAAATACTAAGAATTGTTTTAACGAGTATGGCATTCCTTTTATTCACTGGCCTCTATACTCGCCCGATTTAAACCCTACCGAGTATGGCTGGGCTAATCTAAAAGAACGTATATATGTGATCTTGATCCAGTTCGCTATGCGCTTGAACGATTGAAAGCGTTCGGGTCATCAGCGAAGCCATTCGCTGACCATACAAACAAGATATCTGAACAGGAGAATGCAGATAAATGAAATCGAGCAAGGTAGTTAGTCGAACCCGAGCGACAGGGTATAACAAGGCGTTCCTACCCGGTGAACTTACGAGTGCCTTCGGGGAACTCACTCGTCCCAAGTTGTAACTTACGATTGCGTGAATCCAGGCCTTTACTAGTTTGGTGGAACTAATAGCTGATTACAAGTGCAATTTTATAAGGTATTCGAGGATGCAAGGGAAAACTTAGGGGATGATTATTTTGATTCCTTATCAAGGTCTATGTGACTGCTGTTTTGGAGGCAAAGGGGCGGCATACAGACTCTTAATTCAAAAGCAAATATACAGTATTATTCACATGCAATGTAACCATCGCATACTCAATTAGCGTAGAAAATAATAATGACTATATCTTTTACGGGCGACTAGGATGTTCCCCCTTTTATAAATATTCAGGTGGTTGCGGGAAATTATGTAGACTTTTGTGCAAGAAGTACATAGTGGAAGCTCAGAAGCTGTCATTTCCTAGTTGGTGTCAATCACGATATTTGCTGTTGTTTACCGCAGACTACCCCTGCGACTCGGTTTCCTATTGCAAGCCGTCGAGCAACGCTATATGGATAAGGAGAGAACGTGCAGCAGTCGGATAGCCATTTATTGCCAAGTTGAACATCCTTCATACATACAAGCATCACGATCTGCTGTGGAAATGCTCGCAAGATGTGCAGACTATGAATTTCATGGAGCAACAACAGACAGAGGTAGGTCTTTAGACTTGCAGGTGGGCGCTTATGTGCAATGATAAACATTCTTTTATTGTATTTATTGAAGCGAGGGTAAGTGACCGGGTCAAATGGGGAAGAGTCTATACAGGTCTATTGACAGGTTTATCAAAGAATCATAGGGACAAAACAAAGGACAGGAAACGAAGATAGCTGTTAGGTGTTTTGCTTGCAAAGTCGAAGGCACAAATAGATAATACACAACTCCGGCATGGGGGACCAGTCTCTAGAAGCAGAATATCTGATCACTCATCTTAGAGACTGCGCCAGGGGCCTGAAAGCCCAAGCCCACCAGGGCCTTCTTCGAGGCATTGATCATGCCCGGTGGGCCACAAAGCATAACCTTTGTGTCTGGGGAGGGACCCGGGAGTTTTTCACGCATTACAGCGGCTGTGACATAGCCCTTCCCATAAGCCCATTTCTGGGGCGGGTTGTCCAACATATACCAAATCTTCAAGTTCTGCGGATAGCCGGCAGCGAAAGCCTGGAGTTCCTGTTTCAACAGGATATCCTCCTCGGCACGGTTAGCGTAAATAAGGCTGATCTCGGTAGTATCGGTGTCATCTTCGCAGATAGCACGAATAAGCTGGTACATAGGAGTAATGCCAGTCCCACCAGCAATCATCCCAATTTTCTTGCAGATGCCTTTCCTGTAGCGCATAGCACCCTTCGGACCACGGAACTGTACCTTGTCACCAGCTTTCAAGTTGGCAAGGTATCGGCCGGTGAGCAGGCCGTCGGGATAGCACTTAATCACCAATTCCAGTCTTCCATGGTCCAGGTTGTTGGATGTGGGGGTGTAGGACCGAGAGACGGATTGTCCATCAATGGTTGCCTTGATGGCAACGTGCTGGCCGATGGGGAGCCCTATCACATCCGTGCTATTCGGGAGTTCAAACACAAAGCGATAGACGTTCGGGGCCAAGAGGACCTTGTTGACCAAGGGCAGAGACTTGTATTCTTTCGGGTGAAGGAATCCTGGAGTTAGATGGGGGTTTTCCTTGGCGACTGTGGTGGGGTGGATTCTTGGCGGATATCTGGTGAAGCCAGAATCAATCTGCGTGAATTTGGAGAGTCCGGATGCAATCACGGTGGCAGCTACGGCAGAGAGCATAGCGGCCACGGCGAATCCATTGACAAACCCTCCCTGTTGGAAGTGGGGGACGGCAATCTTGTTTGACGTAAGCTGCGAAAGCCGAGGAAGCGTATTCAGGAGATCCTGTAGGTTGATGTGGCTTCTGGCGGAAGTGGACGCAGCGTAGAGCGAAACAATTCCACCGAGGGAACCGGCCGCGACTGCAAGCGTACGAGTAGTGCTTGGCCGTGTGGTCTCGACCTCCTTAGTAGGTGTCTGTTGGATCAGACGCACAGCAGACGGGCGCTTGTAGTCGACGGCATCCTTCACAGTGCCGAGAAAGTATGTTTCCAAGATCTCGTTCGCATCCTCAGAGTGCCCAACATCTTCGTATGCGGCAGTTGCGTCTTGCCCAGCCACGTCGATCAGAACATCTGCTCCACCTGGGTGGTCTTGCACATACTTGGTAATGTCGTATACTAAGGACACTTGGTTAAACGAGGGTGTTCGATGACGGACGAAAGGCAAAGAGAAGATCTCACCTTTTCCATGGATAGCAACCCACAAGTCGTTTCTGGTCTTATGGGCAGCAACATCTTCCAGAGTAAATTCTGTCATCTTGAAGTCGGACTTTACTGAGTACACCTTGCCCAAGGAAAAACCATGAGGTTCCTCAAATCCTTCTTATAAGACCAGTCAGGGACAGAGAACAGGAAATACTTGGGAGAGCCAGTTGCAGGCTTCTCTTCCGAGGTTAATTAGCGGTGCCTACCAGCAGAGATCTAGACCGAAAAGGCACCATTGAAACGAAATACACTCCCAGCTTTACCGTTTTACCCCTCGGGAGAATGAAGAGTGGCATCATTCCAACTGTATTCCTGTTGCTCGGCCTTTCTTTTCCGAGGTAGTATGAGCACCAATCGGAAAAGCGGTAGCCCTGACTGTCCAATGTGAGAGCCCGAGGATCTCTCAACAAGCAGGCCTTTTCAAACTTTCGAGGTTCTGTGATTTTAATAATGTCCTATGATGGTTGCGATCTTAATAAGAATGCGCTCGTGCATATGCGGTTCCTTGGTATATAAAGATTCGGTTTGCTCGGTGTTCATTCTTCGTTGCGCCCTATCCGCTTCTTAACTTACCTACTCTTCTCTTCCTGAGACTAAAGCGCAGCAGACTCAGCCATGCCTTCACAGACATTCTTCCTCCTTGGAGAGGATGTCTCTACCGCTAAAGAGATTGATATCAATCCTTCACAGGGCATTGATGAAGTAAAACTCTTGATTGCTGCTCATTTTGCCATTGTGGATCAGAGTGGTGAGTTGCTCGATCGCCAAGAATTTGACCTGAACCTGGCGACTTTCTCGAGTTATAATGCTCTGGTTTCTGACGCCAGATGACTGTCTTTTTAGGTATCGGCTTCCAGGGTAATGGCGCTGTTCTTACGGAGACATCGGAAATAGTCGCTGCGACTGGTCCTGTGCCTATTACGGTTGACGGACATCCTGTCCGCGACCCACCCTGCCCTAGGACACTACCCTTCGTTGGAACATTCTTCGAAGTTTATCCTGACCATCTCGGCAACCACCAGCGCCTTTTTGACAAGTATGGGCCTGTAATCAAGACAAGCAACATGGGTCGTGTCACATACCAGACGAATGACCCCAAGATTACGGCTATTGCCTTCTCTGAGTCCGACTTTTTCACCAAGAAGATCAATGAATCGCACCCTTGTTCGCTTTGAAGACCCCATCGGCTGGAGTATTCCTTGGGGACACTGATACTGAGGAGTGGCGGTTAGCCCACAAGTTTCTGCCTCCCGCTCTTGGGCCTAAGGCTGTTCGCCATTACGCTCCAACTATGCAAAAAACAGTCGAGGATTCATTTATGGTATTTGATTACTTGGATAAGCAAGGTGAGGCCTGGAATGTTTACCAGCATATGCTGAAACTCGGCTCGCAAGCCGTTGGAAAGCTCACCCTGGGCTTGGACTTCCAGCACTTCAGCTCTCCAGATGCCCCGGTTCATGAAATGGTACACAATATTGCAGAGCTCCTTTCGCTGAACAAGAAGGTTACCTCCAAGGGTGACTGGTACAGCTCTCTGCCCTTTGGTGACCCCAAGCGCCTCAAAGCCTTGAAGGCCCGCATTGAAGAGATGGTGGATGAATCTATTCAGAAGGCCTCTCGAGGTGGAGTGGATGATTTACCTCTGCAAGACGCAGCTCTAGCCGCAAGCAACATGGTTGGTAAGTAGCCTAATAGGGATAAGGGTCTTAGCTTGCCGGCAAGAGAACTGACGTTTCGTGATAGACTATGCGGTCCGGGCCACGGATAACAAGGGCGAAAAACTACCTAAATCCAGTCTGGTGTGGGCTCTTGTCGTTGCTACTGGTGCCGGGTTTACTACTACAAGCTCCCTTCTCTCGTGGCTCATTTACGGGCTTTGTACCTATGAGGGCATGCAGGAGCGACTTCTCCAGGAGTTAATTGATCACGGCTTTGATGAAAATACCCAGATGACCGCAGAGCTCACAGATAAATTAGACTTCCTCGACAAGTATATCAAGGAGACTCAGCGTCGGCATAACCCGTCTTTCCAGCCCGGACGTACTGCCAAGGTTGACCTTGTCCTCCCTGGGGGGTACAAGTTGCCGAAGGATTCAGTGATTATTCCTGCACTTCATCACATCCATAATAATCCCGAAATTTGGGATAACCCCGCCCGGTTCAATCCGGACCGATGGGACACGGAGGAGGTGAAGAACCGCCACAAGGCCGCTTATATTCCATTTGCCATGGGGCCCCGCATGTGTATCGGGTTTAACTTTGCCCTTCAGGAGATCAAGGTCTTCCTGCCCAAGCTCATTTACCGCTATAAGTTTTCACGGGAGGGCGACGGGCCGATTGAATATGATCCCATGTTCCAGCTGATCCGACCGAATAACCTTTATGTACGTGCAGAAAGACGGGTCAAGTGGCCACCAAGGTCGAGCCAGAGCAACATCGCCTAAGCATGGAGCTTGTTTTGTACTGTATTTACTGAATATAGGAGCACTGAATGTCGCTCGCGCATATTTTACTGCCTATAGAATGCGCCGAACCATAGAATGTACTGAGGAATAGAATGCACTGAAATACTTTTTGCTCACATGTGGTGTCCAGTTCGCTGCGATTGTATCCCCATTCGTTGTCCCCGGAAGTGTCTGCTCAAGGATCATTAGGAACGTTAACCTGTTCATCTCTCCCTCTACAGATCTGAAAAAATTCAAATAACCAAGTCTTCTAATTTCCAGGGAAGGATTAAGATGTAGCCCGTTCAAATGTTGCACTGTAGGGTGGGCATTCGGGAATCTCATCGAATTTCATCTTGTCTTCCTTTCGTAGGGTTTTGACAGAATCCATCTGACGAGAAACACCTTTCCGGAGGCGTCTGGTCCATTTGCACATTAATTAGAGGGCTCAGTGGTGGCGATAACATATCTGATACGTATAGATGGAGGGTTGCGGGTTCTAGATTTTCGAGGCCGGCTTTAATATTCACCTGGTGCCAGGCTTTCCATTTAGGATGACCAGATTAGATATTACAAGAGAGTCTAGCAGTGCTTTCCCGTGGCCGTAATGGATGTAGGCAATAAGATCTGAGACCATTGTACGGCAACAACATCGGTTGATGACGACCCGGTCTCCCAACGGCCCTGCCAACTTAGCCACCGTCTGCTCTCACAACCAACATGATGACACTGCCAATCTCTCTCCCATGCCCAGTCCAGTGTCCAAAACAAGTGAGGTTTGGTTATTTTCCACCCGTTCTTGGTACAATGGATAGGGTGACTGTTTTTAGAAGTCTCTATGATGTTTACCGAGACCTTGGTGCTCATCCCAATGGTAGAGTGGCAGGCTCAATCACAACTGTCACCAGAATGAGGAATCTCTATGCTTTCTCCACTTCCTCCGGAGCACCTGAGGAAGCAAGTAGACATTATGGATCGCAGAAAAACAAAGACTAGCCCGTTACGAGTGTCATTCGATGCAGACGGAACCCATATGCGCAGGGACGGCGCAACTCAAAACGGACCAAAAATCCGATAGTGCACCAGAAACGTCGAATTCTCTGTAGGTGCGCATGCATTGCCTTCAACTTGTATTGACGGGGCCCGGCAGTACATACCATTTCCCTCGGTACCATACTGGCATGGCACCCATTATTGTCATCCCACGGTAATGTAGTACCTCGGTTTCATTGAGATCGTATCTTTCGCTGCCTCGGAAAACTCATGGGGCAGCAAGTTTGGAAAAAGGACAAGAGAAACTATAAGCAATAGAAATCGGGCTGGCCTTAATCATCATGGCTGTCTTTTTAATATTTCACCAATTTCATATCATTTTTCGACCTATACAACAATACATTTTACGCTGTGGTCTATTCTGCAAGTTCTTTTCCCTACTGTATCGAAACATTGAGTATGATGGCCGAACGAAGCTGCCAAGGAGACGGCGTCGCCCATAGGGGCCGGCCAGATCTCAACGAACAGTCGGTACCACGCAAACCTTTATCACCCGAGCTGCAAGCATTAGTGGACAATGATGAATATTACGATCAACCCTGCCTTACATAGTGAGTTCTCTGTATCAGCCCTTCCCAGAGGAATAAATCTTTTCAAAGTGAACTCCTTGCCATTTCAGTCTGCATCTTGATACTGTCTCTGTCCGTACAATGTTGTCAGACAGCATCAGTGGCTCATTAGCGATGGGCCTTTTTCAATACTTTCAAACCGATTGTGGTATCCACAGCTCATGTCCCTATGCCCTTGGATTCACCTTCTATGTATGATACAAATGCTAAAATAGTAGACAGCTCACCAGGCGCACCCCTCACTCCATATCGATATATCGCCTATACCTCCCAAGTTCGGACTATATTTCACGCTGCTCGGCGATATGCCACCCGTGCTTGCAGTATGACAGAAAGTTTCCGATCTGTTGAGCGCCCATACCTGACTCGTGGAGTTTCCGCCGTCTCGTGGGCGTATGCAATTTATAATGTAGTACATGAAGGCCACCAGGCATATTTGCGAAACCGTGACGTTCTTGCGCCGCCGAGCAAGGCATATATGGACGCGCGGGACTCAAACATCCCGTTAGTTCCTAGGCAAACCGTAGTGGTCAATGCCCCCAAGTCGTCCACACTGGCACTTGAGGGTCAGAACGCAGGCTGGGACGATGACGATGGTTGTGTGGACAGTCTGGAACCCTGGCCGGACAGGCACATTCCCCTGGCTGATGACTACCGCTTCATCATGGTAAAGCAAGCAATCTTCCAAGGTCTAGCAAGCATCGGCCTGCCCACTTTCACAATACACAGGATTGTCAAGTATTCCGGAAGGTATCTAGGGCGACGAAAGACATTATTGGCACGGTCTTGTATGCCCGTTGGAGTGAGTTGTCCCGGCCTTTCAATGCTCCAGTCTTCGGTGACTAATTTGGCCACGCTTAGATGGGTTTATTCGCCGTCCCATTTCTTCCGTATATCTTCGATGGGCCTGTTCATAATCTTATCGAGATGGTTTCTAGCGTGGCGATCTACACTCTCAGCGACAGGAAATAGCCCCCATCTTTTGCAAGATTTCCTGTACAGCTTGCCTGTTAAGTGGGAAGTGAGTGTGAGCTCCGTTCTGGAAATCCAGGCATGGAGTGCTGGGATACAAGGCCACTCATGCAGGTCTTCCGAGTGGATCTTTGACATTGGACATTAATATCCAGCCGAATTTTGTTAATTCTCGAAACTAGTGGCAATCCTACCCTACGATAGTGGTCAGCTTCCTTATACAGGCGTGAGTCATATATCTAATTGCCTCGCTAATATTTGCGGACAATCTCAGTCGCCTATTTCCCTTCTTTTATCTTTCCCTTGTATAAATATTTATTCGCAGACTGTATAGCGTCTGATCTGTACCGCAGGTTTCCTACGGTGGGCCTTCCTTACTTTTACCTGGTTTGACGTTATCTGTCGATTTTAAAGCGCTCGCATTAATGGTGAAAACTGCAGAGCTAACTGCCTCAGGAACTTCACGCCGACCTTAAGTCTTACCCACGATAGTGTTGCGGATCTCGTCGTAGAGGCATAGTTTCCCCAGGCTCTTCATTAAGCTGGGGCGTACTAAGCTATGAAACGCGATTTTTATCTTCCCATACAATCAAAACCCTTTTATTTCCTATTTTAGCCCGACTTCTTGCTTTCTGTATTTCTACTCATTCTTAGCTCGTACAGCCTTGACTTTTCTTGCTCTAAAGGACGGCTGGTAGACATTACTATTTACACCGCTTTCTCAGGATACTAAATATGAGCAATTAGGCTGCTGTATGACTTCCGCTTAGTATTAAGGCTATTCTATAAACTGTGAATTTTCCAATCCACTTGGTTACTATTCGAAGGGGTTCGAAATGTAAAAATGAGTCTTTAACTAGCATCATTATTAGAGTATATAGTTGAAAGTACGCTGAGAAAAAAGTAAACTTTTGCTTAAATCGCTTCATCCCTGCTCCTGGAAGCCACTTGGGATTCATACTAAAGTAAATATTTTAGACCGCGCTGCGGGTTAGGCTAAGGTATGCGGTCCTCAAATTATATCCACAGCCCTCTAGCGGGTGAAGAGTACAGCCCGAATATGATGGTAATCTCTACAAGCGAAATATCCAGTGGGGACTTTGACGGCATATAGAACAAGTAGAAAAGAGTTCACGGATCCGATGACATAAGAAACAAGTAGGAGTAGCCTTGCATTAGTGGCTGGCAGATTCAGAGCACAAAAATTGCAGGTACCGTGGAAAGTGCAGCTCTCGGAGAACCAACGTACCACCGAGGACAATGAACCTACACTCTCTCAAGATCCGGTCATCCGCGGATACTGGGGCAAGCAGATTCCGCGGGTGAGCTTCCCCACGTCCCTATTCCCCGTAAACATCTCGAATCCGCTCGCTGCCCAGTGGCACAACCATTTAGACACATAATATGAAGTACCGAGGGTTCAATGAACTACCTACTATAACTATTTAAAAGGGGAAATACACTAGTTCGGGAGGGGGCATTATCATTATCAGTGACTATTATTCTATCTGCCATGAACAACGGCGAAAGCGGGGACATGTCTATCATCGGCCCACACCAACCTTGCAATCGGCAACCTCAGGAGAGCATAGCAAACCCTACTAGGAGATTTATGATGACAGAGGAAGGAATGCCTTTGGAGTATTCAGGACATGTTCATGTATCGCGAGCTTCCAGGAAAGAAGAACTCAGAGCTATCCTTGGCAACCCTACCCCTCTGTTAGTACAATCTTTAATCTTGCTCGACCTCCGTTGTGCTAACACTTCTAGTGGTGTTATGGGATTTATCTTAAGCTTAACTCCGCTTGCCTGTGACCTGATGGAATGGCGAGGGGCGGGGGGGTTTGGGGCAGCGACAGTGTTTGTTAAATTAACCCTTTGATATTGAGCATAGTTGACTTACTTCATTCAGTGGTACTGCCTATTTCTTTGGAGGATTACTTATGATTTTGGCAGCGGTTCTTGAATTTATTCTAGGAAATACCTTTATCTTTGTCGTCTTTTCATCTTATGGTGCGTATATGAGAGGGATGTCTTCCACCTATACCCTTGATGATTTATTAATATGCTAATAGCCGCATTTTGGCTTTCCTTGGCTGCGATATTGACGCCATTCTACGCAGCCTATACGGTATATGAGCTATCAGACCCTACAAACCCCGGGTTTAACAATTCCTATGGTACGTATTTGCCTACGGGATATCTCAGATATACTAATAGATTCCTAAACTCTAGCATTCTTCGAGGTCTTCATGGGTTTCCTGTGCTTCATCTATTTAATATGCAGCATACGAACCAATCTTTGCTTTGTGGTCATTTTTCTTACCCTCACGCTTGGGTTTAGCTTCCTCGCAGGAACTTCATGGCAACTAGCCAATGGGAACGCAGATTTATCTAGGTCATTGAAAAAGGTCGGTACTGCCTCTTTCTGCCATATCAGGCCGGTGCCTGTTCGTATTCTAGATAAATAACCTGGCTGACAACGATTCCGTATGGGATAAAGACAGGTGGTGCCTGCCTGTTTGTAGGGGCCATATCAGGATGGTACTTCCTGTTAGTTCAGATGCTCGCCAGTGTTGATTTCCCATTCACCCTGCCTGTTGGCGACCTCAGCCGTATAGTTCGTGGTGCCAGTGATAAAAGTGCCAAAGCGGTATAACTACCAAGGACTGTAAATAGCGACTTTCTGGCGCGGTACATACACCTGCCGAGGCTCTATTAGCCTGCATTACGCTGGTATGGTGCATTCCCAGATTCTGCATACTGTTCGATCACTAATGCTTAGACAATAGGTTGATGTGTTACTCCTGAGCTACTTCCAGTGTTTGACAATACTAACGAGGCGAGTCAACATGTGAAAGGAAACGCACTAGACATTCTAGTACTGTTATTATTGGAGCTTAGCACAGACAGGAAAGATATTAGTCAATTTGGACCCATCCAACACTCTCACTACTTCTTCTGATCTTACCTAGGGCCGGGCTTAAGTAAAGGGCATGCATCATATATGTTGTTTCATTAGACTCGAGGGGGCTTGTCTCAAAGACATGCCCAGGGCCGTTCGGTTCTCTGCCAGTCAATGCCTGCCCCCTGTAGATAGTTAACAATTATAAGGAAAAGGTGGATTGGTTCCTAAGTTTGTGTGCTGCTTTGGGTGTGCGATGCTGGGAACTAGAGTCCGACTGATCGCCCCCTAAGGAGCCGAATACGATGGTGGGTCAACGACCAGGTTATTAATGGACGATGTAGCTAATTGAAATCTGACTGAGCTATAACAGAGAAAAAGACTAGGCCTGTTGATAAAACCTGGCAGAATTGAATACCGGTGATATGAACGACATATTAACACTCTCCCAGCAGCTAGTAGGAGCCCAAATACTCCGTCGTTTTGAACTTTGAGATTGTATCCTGTACTTCCAATATAGTCCATCATCATCTGGGATTATGTATACAATGGACATTCCTGCTGTCGTTGTCTGGTGGGTCTAGGCTTCATAGAAGCTTAGCTTACCTTGATGATACCTAAAGTATCGAGACACAATCGTAGAAACCTCATTGTACCCCTGTGGCTTTAAGGAATAGCAAATAGCATAATATATATATTCTTATATTAGGGCTTTCATAGCAACAGAGACATAAAAGTAGGGAAGATGTGTGCTATACCACCAGATTTGGCTATACACCAGAGTGAAACGTGTAGTGGTGTATGGTTGATATGACAAAGCTACAATGTAAGACATGTTCTGCCCTGTGGGGGACTCAGGAAAAATAATGCCTGCAGGTCTATATCTCCACATACTAGCAGGGTAGAAGCTGCTGTAATACTTACTAACCCTTCAGAGAAAACTGCCTATACAAAGGGAAAGATCCGCTTGTTCTAGTTTTATTGTCGACCAACCAGTCCTACAAAATGAACCGCGAAGTTTCATTGTGTCTTAAATCCCTGCAACTAGTTCATGTTCTGAGGTGAGCCTTTGGAAGCAGAGCTCCTTCGTGGGCCGCTGATTGTTCCCTTACACAACCAATGACATGGTTACTCAACCTGCCTTCCAAGCTGTCGGACGAGTCTTCCGATATTACTTCAACCGCTTGACCAGACAACAGCGTTCCCACTGCACCACCGAAAAAGAGTTGCTTGACACTCTTTCCAGAGATTCCACAATAAAGAGACACAATAATGTAGGTTTTCTGGAGTCCTTCCATAGTTAACAAGTACATGTTGAGCTTGAGGTCCTTGAGACATTTATATAGAGGATTGTCAGAGCTCCAGCGGAGAAGATAAAGGTTCATGGCGGGAAAGAAGAGTAAAGGAGTGATCCAGTTTCGATACACTAGCAAAGGAGCGTTGATCGAATTGAAGCAAGGCCTTTGCCAAATAACAACACCAACTGTCAACTAACTTGCCTCATAATACCTGCGTATTGGAAGCTCTCTTGAGCGAGCAACTCACCAATGTCATTGGCCTTTGATACAGCAGAGTCGGCCTTCTGGATATTGGTGTATATAACACGGGACCCCTATATACCTTGAAGAATATAATAACTCTGATGGCTGCTATAAGGCTCCAAATCTCTTGCATGGAATAAGAAACACATAATATTTTTAAAGCAATAGTCCCTAATTGCCTGTAGCTGGAAGTTCAAGATCGTGGTAAATACCCGGTGATTGTTGTGCCACCCTAGGCGGATACTTGTGTTTGCTGCTGGAGCTCAAAGTCATCATTAGAAACCAATTCACCAACCACTGGGTACTTGAGCAAGAATCGCTCTTCCCAGCTCTCAAGATTACCGAGCTCATCTCGAGTGAGGTCCTTTATGTCGTCCAAAGGTCCGTTGAGATCTTTAGTGAGCACTTCTTTGTCAAAGCTTTGCAAGGCTAGTCCACGGGTCGCGTCTCGTCCCGCAAAGTTCTCGTACGGCCCTCCCTTAAGGTTAAATTAGCTGCAGCGCGTGATGCTTTGCTAGCAGAACGATGGTGAGAACCGTATCGTATAACGTACC